TTCTCTACGTTAAACTTTTCTTTTTAAGGTTTTTGACTTGATTTTATTCCCAGCTCTGTCACTATAGGTTTTGGAGATTATTCCCTTCTCTTTTTTCTCCGAAAGTACTATACGGTGTACAAGGTTAGGCATTTAATATATTGGAAAAGGAAAGAAAAAGCCGATTCCGAAATTTAGAAACCGGCTTGAAACCTACCGGTTCGGTTCTGAACTGGTTCTCGGGTGACCCACCTAGGTTCCCAAGTCGAAGAATCTGGAACTGGTTTTAAGCAAGTAGGTTTCGATTCTATTGTAGAACCTATCCAACCTGAAATCGTAGACTCTTAACCACTGGGGGACCCCCAGTGGCCACCCTTCTCACTTGAGAAGGGGGAGGTGGGGAGTTCGAATCCCCACCTTCGCAGGAGGTAGGGGTGGGGCCGTGTAGTTTAAGATGTGGGTTTCGACGCCCACGCCCTACAAGAGGTGGGGCGCAAGTCTGAGTGTGTATCGTGAGTGAGAGATAGAGTAGGACCGATCTAAAAAAATAATTCGTAGACTCTTTAGTCAATTGAAGTTGGAAAGGATAGAAAGATCTCTAGTGCTGTCAGGCTATTACATGATGGGCTCATTTGAGGAAGCCCGCATTTAACCCATGGAAGCCAGCAAATTATTGCCTTAATCACAGAAAAAGATTTACAATTCATAGAGTAAGCTTTTTTTTCTCGGACAAAATTTTAGAATGATGTTACATAATATTTATTCGTCTTAATAATATAGTTTCTGTTTGGACACGGTCCTACTGCACCCTGGAAAAAGTATTTCTACTACGGATACATCATGTTTCGTCATTCTAATTTTGTAGTTTTTTTTACTTCGTATTTCCCGTAACACACAAATTACCTTATCAAGTGATAACCCATCACGTTTCTTGATAGTATGATCAATGAGACCACAAGAATGGATCACAACACCCTTCATAAATATAAATGGGAAAATACAAATGCAAAATCATTAAAGCATTCTTATTAGCTCCATTTCTGTTGGTCACCATTGAATTTAATGATGGAAGACACAACAGCAAGAGTCTAATCCAAATTAATCACACATTGACTACACCCATGACAAAAAGTGAAGAAGAGAGGAATTTTCTTGTATTGATCTGTTTTGTATACATGTACACGTCCCTATTTATAGGACAATGAATAAAGACAAAATTAGGAAAAAGAAATATAAAAGATTACATTTGGTAATCTACTAAATCAATTACGGATATTGATTGAATCAATCAGTCCACTATCAGAATCAATATCAATTAGGATCAATATCTCCAATCATATCTTCAACACTCCCCCTCAAGCTGACGATCTGTATATGTCAAAGACGCCTAGCTTGCTTAGTAGATATGAGTGTTATTTATGACATAATGGTTTAGTGAAGATAGCCACAGGTTGTTCCACGGTTCCAATTCCTCTCGTCACAAGTGTTCCTTCCTGGATTTTTTCTCGAGTGAAGTGACAATCAACCTCTATGTGTTTCATCCTTTCATGAAAAATTGGATTCGATGCTAGTTTGAGTGCTGCATCATTATCACGAAATAATTCACTTGGTCCATCAATTTTAACTCCAAGATCCGAGAGTAATCCCCGTATCCAAACTATCTCGCAAACAGTTTTCATCATGGCTCGATATTCTAATTCGACTGACGATAATGAAACAATTGACTGTTTCTTAGTCTTCCATGAAATTAATGATTTTCCTAGTTTGATGCAAAAACCAGTGATAGATCTTCTCATCATTGGACAAGTAGCATAATCCGTATCGCAATAGGCAGTCATCTTCATATCACAATGTCGAGATAAAAGTATCCCAAGTCCGGGACATCCCTTCAAATATTTTACTACCTTTAGTGCTGCATTCATATGAGACTATTTTGGGTTCTGCACTGCATAACATATATTAGGTTTTGTCATGGTAAGATATATCAACTTTCCAATGAGTCGCTGATATCCAAATGGGTCTTTAAGTAATGGGTCATTATTAATAGATGATCCCATGTCATATTCATATGATGCCATCTTAACATTTTGCTCAATTGGTATAACCATTGGTTTACAACTTGACAAACCCGCTTCTGAGATGATCTCCAAAACAAAATTCCGTTGGCTAAGGCAAATTCCTTTGTCAGATCGAGCTATCTTGATTCCAAGAAAGTATTTGGGAGGTTCCAAATCTTTGATATGAAAAGTAGAATGCAGATATTCTTTGAATTTCTTAATAGCATATTCATCATTTCCCATGATAAGTATATCATCAACATATATTAATAAATAAATTGATGATGTACCTCTGTTCCACGTAAACAAAGCATAATCATGCTTAGAGTGTTGGAAGCCTGCATCTGTGAGTGTATTAGTAAATTTGGCATACCATTGCCGAGATGTCTGTTTAAGTCCTTACAGGGATTTTCGAAGATGACATACTCGAGACTCCTCCTGTCTCCGTAAGCCCTGTGAAAGTTTCATGTAGATTTCTTCTTCCAAATCCCCATATAAAAAGGGATTATGAACATCCATTTGATGCACTTGCCAATTGCGAAAAGCAGCAATGGATAGAAAAGAACGAACAGTTACCTCTTTTGCAACTGGAGAAAAAGTCTCGTGGTAATCAAAACCTTCTCGTTGTGTGAATCCTTTAGCAACTAGGCGAGCCTTGTATCGTTCAATGGAACCGTCTGCTTTGTATTTTATCTTGTATACCCACTTGCATCCTATGGGTTTACGATGTGAAGGTAATGGAACAATATCCCATGTGTGATTTTCCATAAGAGCATGCAACTCAGCTTCCATGGCAATTTGCCATCGTGGATCACGTGCTGCTTCTATATAAGAGGACGGTTCCTATTCCTCAGAGATACGACTAATGCAACATGTGTGTTCCGGTGATAGTTGACTAAAAGAAACATACGAGGGTACTGGGTAATGTGTACCTGGAGAATTCAACGTGGGACATATATAATCTTTTGTCCATGTGGGAGGGCAAACATGACACCTAGAGCGTCGAGCTTGTTTAGTCATCGTTTCTTCAAGAACTGCCGGAGAAGATTCAATAATGAGAGGTGATGGAGATACCATTGGTGAATCGGCCGAATGATTTTCATCAGAAGGTATATTTGGGGATTCTGTTGTTGCGTCTGATAAGTCAGGACTGGCTGGCATGGCTTGCTCCTGTGTAGCAAGAAAATATGGAGGATCCCTAGATAAATCTTCTTTCTGATAAAAAGAAGTCTATGACTGGATGAAGAGATAGTTGGTTGGGACGAAGACACCATTGCTTGGAATGGAAATACATCTTCGTGAAAAATGTCTCGGCTTACAAGAAAACGGCCTGAAGATATCTCCATAACCTGATAACCGTTCTGTAGAGAGGAGTAGCCCATGAAAACACATTGAAGGGCATGGGGATCCATCTTATCCCGAGGGCCCACAGTTATAACATAACATAAGCATCCAAAGACTCTTAGATGATCAATCCCAGGTTGCTTTCCATAAAGCATTTCAAAAGGTGTTCGACCTTTAAGGATTCGAGTTGGCATACAATTAATTAAATAGGCTACCGTGACCACACACTCTCCCCCAAAAATTTTCTAGAATTGGCCTTGGTATTTTAGAGCTTGAGCTACTTCCAAGAGGTGTCGATGTTTGCGTTCTACAATCCCATTTTGTTGGGGAGTGTAGGTGCATGAGCTTTCATGGGGTGTCTCTTGATTAGATAGAAAGGAATTGCATTCACTAGTGAAAAATTCTCGTCCATTATTGGTATGGATCCTTTGGACTGTTTGTCAAACTAATTTTTGACCATGGAAAGGAATTTTGATAGATGAGAAAAAGTTTGTCCCTTTGATTGCATAAGAAATACCCAAGTGGTGCGAGTATAATCATCAACAATAGTAAGGAAAAACCAGGATCCATCGTGATGTGGAGCATGACAGGGACCCTAAATATCCATATGAATCAAAGAAAAAGGATTAGTAGCTCAAGATGTGCTAATTGGAAACGATGCTCTGGATTGTTTGGCTAAAGGACAAATTGGACATTTTGGGAGAGGAAAACGAGCACTATGACCCAAACGTTAATGAGAAATAAGAGTTTTATTGCTAATAGTAGCTTTACAAGAGATGCTATTATTTAACAATTCAAAATTTTTCGATAAATTTGTGCAAAAATATAGTCCTTGTGCGATACTACCCAAGCCCATCAGTTTGCCAGTCAAATGGTCCTAAAAAAAACAATTGTCGAAATTGAATATAGCACAATAAGAATTATCCTCACAGATTTTGGAAACTGATATGAGATTGAACTTGAAATCCAGGATATATAGGACATTTTTTAGGATAATGTTTGGACTGAGATAGACATAGCCTATTTTGTTGACAAGAGTGGTGTTTCCATTGGAAGACGTATAAATACGGAAGAATGAGGTTTTCTTTGAACATGAAAAAATTGCTCATTGCAGATTATATGGTCATTGGCACCCGAATCAATTATCCATGCATCATCCGAAATTGAATTCCTTTTTGAGAAAAAAAGTACCTGAAAAGCTTCCAGTCTTTTCCGTGGTCCGTAATTGACTCAGAGATTTCATAATGTTTAGGTACTCATCCTGAGTAATTGTTTGTTGCAATCCTTGTGCCAAAACCTGATAAGCAGAAAAATCTCTCTCCCTTTTTTCTTTATCGTTTGGCTTTCCAAGTAATTTTCAGCACGTATCAATAGTATGGTGTAGGCGTTTACAGTAGTCACAAAAGTTACCTTTTATTTTGGAATTTTGCCCACTATTTCTTTATGCTGATGTGGCGCCTCGTGAGGCATTAGATGGTTTGAAAGTTGAGGCTGACGTGGCACCATACGGGCCACTTGATTCGACTTATGGGGAGATTAGATAATGGGCGTTGGATCCTGCTTTGCTATCCTGGCCGTCCACTCGGTTTCCTTTACAGTTTCTATCTTCTTCCAACGCTGCTCCCGATGCTTCGGTATGGCGATTTTGTCACTGCTCCGAGGGCAATACTCTCGATTCGCCCGTGCTCGGCCGCGGCTAATTGTTGGCTCTCCTCTTGGATAGCCAGCTGATAGATCCGGCTGAGTGACAACATTGGATCCACCGCCAAAACCTGTGACCGAAAGACAGAGTATGTGTCGTTGAGAATGAGTAAGAATCTCATAACCTTTTCTCGTTCTTTCATTTCATGGTATTGTCGGAGAGTGGCTTCGGGTCCCTCAAGTTGTTCCTTGGCCGCCTCGAGCTCATTCCATAGAGCCGAGAGCCGATTGAAGCATGTGGTGGCCAAAAGGTTGCCCTGTTTCAACTCGGATAGGGCTTGAGTGAGTGCGAACAATTTCGCTTGATCTAACTTCCCGTACATTTCCCATATATTCTCCCAAATTGTCTTTGAATCTTCTGTTGGTGGGAGTCCGGCCGCGACATTGGGTGCCAAGCAATTCCCGATCCAGGTGCATACTAGTTGATTGCATCGTCGCCAGTGCTGCTATAATCTCTCATCGGTCGGAAAGAGGACGGATCCATCGAGGAAGCCGTCCTTATCTTTCGTGACCAGAGCACGCTGGAGATCTCGAGCCCAGGCGGTGTAGTTGTCTGGACTGGCGAGCTACATGTTTATGAGCCGGAGTTCTGGTCTGTCGGCCGGCGAAGTGTAGAGGGGATCGCCGGGTTCCGAGCGGCCGCTGCTGCCTGGTATTGTGTACGGGATGAAACTGGGTTGGAATCCGGGTTGGAAAGCCGGGTAGGATTTGTCCCTAGACCCGGGTGAGTGGGTTTGGGTCTATTACCCTAACCCGTCCAACCCGATCCATCATTTGCGTTTGCTCCAGGTGTGAATGGAAATGGCCCACCTCCACTGGGTTGTGTTCCAAGCCTTGGAGCTCCATCTTCTCTGGCCCATATTGAGTCCACGTCTGACTTGGTCCAGTGGGCCACTGGCCTTGAATCGGAAACCACTGAATTGGTGGCCACTGGATGGGCCCAGAAACATGAACTGGAGCTGGGGCAGAACCAGCCGAGTGTTGGCCAGAAATCCTCTCTTCTTCAGGCAGATCAATCTGATCTGAGGTTTGGATTTCAGGCTTCCTCCATTGAAGGATTATGGCCATCACTGGTGTTTGTGTTTTTATCCTTGGGCATGGTATAGAAATTGAATTCCTACCTGGTTTGCTGATTTGTTTCGCAGGACAGAATATGCAACAACAAACCAGAAAGACAACGGAGGCAATTCTAGGATCGCGGAAGATAGGTCAGGAATGAAAGCTCTGATAACATGACAGAAAGTGAAGAAGAGAGGAATTTTCTTGCATTGATCTGTTTTGTATACATGTACACGTCCCTATTTATAGGACAATGAATAAAGACAAAATTAGGAAAAAGAAATATGAAGGATTACATTTCCTAATCTACTGAATCAATTATGGATACTGATTGAATCAATCAGTCCACTATCAGAATCAATATCAATTAGGATCAATATCTCCAATCATATCTTCAACAACCCACATTAACAAACCCTTCTTTATTTTCTCCAAATGACAATCGTCCTTCTTTCTTAAAAACAAATCTCTCTCTCGAAACCAGACCAAGTTCAAATAATATCTAACGAACCACCTTACAGTCGAGCCTAATCTCTTGGCCACCGGTCAAGCTGCTCATCTTGATCATGGACTGGATGAAGGCGTTATTGAACTCCTGCTGCGAGCTCGCAAACTTGGTGACCAAGGCCTTGGTCTGTGGGGTCGTGAGCAGGGCTTGATCCGAAGTGAAGATGCTCTGGCCCTGAAGGAGCATCTTGAAGTAGACGTTGTCGAAGATGGTGAAGGTCGAGTCCATTGTCGATCCCGCGTTCTTCACCGTGTTGTGCAATGGGCACACGTTGCGTAGGTTTGCCGCGAAGGACGGGCTCAGCGATGGGTCAACGTCGGCGGCGGGGCTGAAGTTGTGGATCCTGTTTTGGAATGACGAGCAGTGAGCAAATCCCAGCGTGTGGCCTCCTGCATGCATGCGAAAAAAAGTAATTTTACGGTTACACGGCTTAGCGATTACGTGGTCTAATAAGCAATAAGTAAATATTGCAAAATCACATCACGTGATGACGTGGTAAAAAACTAAACGGTCATGTCATAAAGTATATTCTGTGAATGGATAGTGCAAAGTATGCAATTTTACCCTTTTCATAGTTGAAATCACAATTAAATCTTGCCGAAAATGTTGACACATTCAAACCTTTAATTTTTCTACCAAAAAAAGAAACATTTAATTTTTTTTAAAGCTTTCGCAAACGTTAATGTGTAATGTCTTACCGGATAGAGCCACTAAATCTTCCATGGAAAGGCCTCTCTGGGAGAAGCTTTGTTGGAGTTGAGAGATGTTGAAGATGGGAGCTGGTAATTGCCTGGTGTCACTTGCCATTGATATTCTTCCATCTAGCCTCCCTTTTGGCACATTCCAAGTGGGTCCTCCAGACTATATACCAGAAACATCATATGGAATATAAAGATAAACATTCATAACCCTTCAATAGCAATTTCATCTTAAGTTGAATTGTTTTTTGCTCTTGCAATGTTGAACCACAAGTCAATAGATTGACATATTCTAATTATGAGGACGAACCAGAGAGACAGCATCGCGAGCAGCGAGAGCCAAGATGTCGGCACAGGAGACGACACCAGGGCACAGTGCTTCCACTGCCTTCTTCGCATTGTCGATCACATAGAATGCATGCAGTGAAATATTGGGAGGTCCATCTTTCTCTGCTGTGTTGCCTCTCGTTGAGTTCAGCAGCACAGAACCATCACACCCCTATTTTTCATACCGAAGCCAACATACATTAATATTGCTCCAATTTGACCACTATAATCTATCAGAGCAGTTCACATAAATAACATCAGCTATACATAAGGAAGTGACGATCACTGGTGTAAGACACATTGGTTTATGACATGGAACTCTGCCTTAATTACGCATATCAATCCGGAACCATAGAATACCCAACTAACCATATGAATCAGGTAATCCGTATGAGATAGGTTTTACTATATAAAGATGGAAAGAAATAATAAGGTTAAGAAGGAGAGGAAGAGAAATGAGTATACTCTAATGAAGCAGTCGTGAAAGTGCATCCTCAAGAGTGCAGCTGGAACAGTATTGTCATTCACTAGGGCTTTCTTGACAGCAGCTGTGACCGTAGCCTCGAGCTGTGGGCAAGCGTGGTCATAGTAGTTTGTGCTCAGTGCATCGGTAGGAGAGAGAATTTGAAGGATGAGAAAAGCAGAGACGAGAGCAACTAGGAATGCCATATTCGGAGCTTTTTCTGAGTAGATTTTGCAAGTCACGTAGGAATAGTGCTTCCTGATGAATCATGAAGGACCTGATGAAGGTATTTATACAGTGATGTTAAAAGGGGTCACGCGTCACACAGATTGAGGTTGTTAATTGGAGAAAAGATAGGGTTGGTTGGCAAATTTGGTGATCAAGAACCACTGTTGGCTAGTGGAGTAGCGTTCTTGAAGCAAACTCATTGCATAAAACGACAACTCAATGTCACATTTGATAACTATTGTTCTAGTTTGAACAACTATAGTCAACTTGTCGATCAGGAGGGAAATAAATAGTCTTTTGATCCTGTGTCTAAACAGATGTTTCAAGATCAACTGTTTAGGTCAAGTTAAACTCTAAAGATTAAGAAGTCTGGACAGATGGTCGAATGTGCGGCCTTTATAATTTTCCGAGGCAGACTGCTCAGCCCCAAACTGGCTCGATGCCCGGCTATCATCCGCGGATCCTTTTGGTCCATCAGCTGGACATCCAGAACAAGATGGCTGGACATTCTAAGCACAAGCGCTGAATCTACTATGTCAGTCGCCGGGCGTCTGGGTTCAATCCTCTAGATTTCCAGGCTTGTGCACACGGACTAAATTCAAGTGTTGTCATCCGCCGGGTAACTTCATAGCTCAATTCGAAACCTAATCAAGTCTGGGTCAGTTAATTGCAAATTCAAGGCACAATTAACAATGATTACCGTTATTTTTAGTTTCACCTTCTGTGCGTGCGATATTAGATTTAGTGCCGTATGCGGCTGATAGTGTGACGAGTCACTTTCGTCCACCTTTCTCCTTCTAATTTTGGGGTCGATTTGAAACCAAGTAAAGAGATGCCAAAGTTCGTAGAAAAGAATTAGACCTTGCAAAAGCAAGTTCATTAGCATAGAAGTAGACCCTGCAAAAGCATTGATATAAGAGAGACAAGGAGAATAATGTTTGGTGGATAGGGTCCAACGACTACAGGCATTTTGGAGTAATGTAATCCGGGTCAACTAGTTGTTGCTTGTTCGGTTAGCTTATCAAATTGGAATCTATCCAAGGTCGAGATAATATTTTGTCCGTACCGAATAATCCCATGTGGTGACACGAAAAAACATAAGTCATTCGTGATTAAAAGTTAGTGGCACCTGAAAACATATGAGTAAGATGATTTAAGCAATGTAATCAATCGGTTACGCATAAACCGTACAAGTGACCTGTTCATCGAGTCAAACCCTATAAGTGGCTAACCGAAGTCTCTTGTCTCGGGCATTCTTCAAGTACGCACCATACCCTTTATAAAATTATCTTTGTTTAGTCTTCGATGCATTATCTTGGCTTAATCAGTTGAAGATACTTGGACTTATCCGTTGGATTAAGCGGTCCATCTGCATCCAACTACTATATGACAGAATAATGCTATTCCCAGAAATTTAAGTAACTAATCCCCACCGTCCCTTAGATTTCTAAGGAATTATTCAGTAGCATGGACAAGATCCTGCGCATTAGGTGAGTCAAACATGTTCTCATGACCTATGCTAGAGTGAACAGTTCTCATCGGATGAGCCGCTCTACGGGTACGAATCCTAGGCATGCCCCGTCACTTCAAACCTAGTTGGAACTTGCATTTTCAAATTATAAACGAATTTGCTTTCTAAACTTTGACTTGACATCTGTTATAGCCCACTGGATATTAGGTAAATGAGATATAGGTGCTGAAAATTAAGGTTCCCGAAGATACACATCTCACTTTACTAAAACCAAAACCCTGTTACGTGCAAAATTTTACTTATCCGAAGTTATTTTTTCACAAACTTTTGATGAGAATTATATTGTGGATTTGCATCTGCTGAATCAACATATAAGAATTATTCCTCCGACAGAAATGACTATTCTCAAGGAGTGTTTATCAATTATTTTAGTATTAAGTATAGTTAAGTGATAGGAAAATTACCAAAACAGTTCTAAATCTATTACAATTGTGTCAATTCAGTCTGAAATCTATTTTTTTGGTCAATTTGGTCCTAAATCTTTTGCATTTGTGCTAATTCAGTCCATCCGGCTAATTTTGGCCGGCCGGCGTTGACGTGGACGCTAACCCGCGCCAGCCGTCCGGCCAATGCTGACGTGGCAATTTTTTTAATATTTTCGAATTTTTATTCTTTTCTTTTCTTTTCTTTCCCTTTCTTTTTTTTTTTTCCACATTCATCTTCAACCTCTAGCCGGTCCCCAGAACTGATAATTGGCCAAAAGCGGGGGCCAGCGAGGTCGACCCCACCGACCGCTAACGAGGGTGAGCCTCACCCACCCCTGGCGAGGCTCAACCTCCCCGTCGCTGAGCGAGGTCGACCTCTCTAGTGGCTGGCGAGATTCAAAATCGTCGACAACTGACGAGGTCGGCCTCACCCAACAATGATGAGGTCAAGCCGCACTAGTGACCGAAGGGGCTGACCTCCCTCAACCATGGTAAGGCTCATCCTCGCCCAGCCATGGTGAGGCTCATTCTCGCCGTCACGAGCGAGTTCGAGCCTCGCCCAGCCATGGCAAGGCTCAAACTCGTCGCTCGCCAACCACTGGCGAGGTTGACCTTGCCAGGGGCGGGCGAGGCTCACCCTCGCCAGCAGCTGAAGGGGCTGACCTTGCCTCTGGTTGGTCGCCGCCTCTGGTCTAGAGGTTTCAGATGAATGCATGAAAAAAAAAAGAAAGGGAAAGAAAAGAAAAGAAAAGAAAATTAATAAAAAATTCAAAAAATATTTAAAAAATTGTCACGTGCTGCCCGGCCAAAATTGGACGGATGGGCTGAATTGGCACAAATGTAAAAAGTTTAAGACTAAATTGGCACAATTGCAATAGGTTTACAACTTTTTTGGTAATTTTCCCGTTAAGCGACTTAAATAGGTGGGCTTAAAGAGAATTGTTGTTTTGTGGCCCAATAAAAAAGTAGTATGTAAGAGGCCCAAATGGGATGAATCTAATGGGCTCAACTCACAATACTAATGGGCCCACATGGTGACTGGTTAGAAAAATTCAAGAAAATTTGCACATTGAATGCACTGAATTTTTCGACCAAAAAAGAAAATGCGTTGAATTTCAATAAGGGAGTTTTTCCTTTTTTTAAGAAAATTTAAGAGTTTTTTTTAGAAGAAAAGAAAGTTTAAAGGAAAAAATATTGACAATGTCAGTATATTGACCAATGAGAACGAGCAAATATTTTTAAATTAACAAAGAGAAAGAAATTTTAATAAATTTAAGATAGTCATAGATATTGGATATATTTAGTACGGTCTAAAGGAATAAATAATAAAATTAACTCTACAAGAATGAGAATGTAATTATATCTCTAATAAAATTGGCTGGATATGCATAATGTGTAATGTGATGATTTGCAAAAAAAAATACTAATATAGAATAATATAGAGAGAAAATTTGACTTTGTTGTTTCCAATGTAATACACCATAAAGAGTAAAATTGCTTAAATGCTTACATGTGGAAAAATATGATATCGGAGATATTGTTGCTTGGTTAATAATGACTCAAGGAATTGTTGACACCACAATTTTGGCGACCTATTTAGACATTTATTGCATGGAAAATTATGGATTGACCATGATCCCTAAACAAAAAGATTATTCATTTCGCTTTGCATATTAGTAGCATTTTTCATTTAATAGTATTAAGCCCACATAAACTGCATTTTAGTTGAGTTGGAGCTAATTAGACTGGTGCAACGAAAGTTGTGAGCTTAATTGAATTAGTTGGATTAAGCCCACAAGAAGACAAAATTTGGCCAAGCCCATCAATCCTTTCAATGTGGCCGAAATATGCATATGATATATACAAGGAGTACTAAGATACGAAAGATTGCAGTATCTGACCAAATTTAGAGGAAATAAAGGTATATGAATCATGATCGGTCAGAATCTTTGGCCAAGTGACATTCGTTGAAAGAAGGAACTAAAATAAAATAGAAGGAAGTGAATAGTTTAAGAAAAAGATATATATTCACCGCATGGACTAAAAAGAGAAAGAGTATGTGCACTAACTTATCGTGAAAGTACAATTGAATCTTAAAACTTGCAAAAAGTGAAATCAAATCCTAAAATTTATCAAATTGATGCAATCAAGTCCTTCTATTAATTTCATTCGACTTAGCTAACAAAAAATGCTGACGTGCCTTTTTTTAATATTTACTCTCTACTACGTGATGATGACGTGGCTAAAACATGAAACATAAGGCTAAAACGACGTCTTTTTGATCAAATTCTAATTTTTAATACAAATTTTATTTAAATTAAATTTAAAAATAAGCTAAAAAAGAGAGAGTTCGAATCCCTCGCCACCACCGCCACCCCAACATTGCTGGGAAGGGCTGGTGATGGTGGGGAAATGGTCTATGGGGGTCGCCAGAACAGAGCAAGGGCTGGCGACCTTGCCCGATAAAAATAACAAATGTTGAATTAGAAAGAAAGAAAAATCTAGGAACCAGAGGAGTTTCTTCCGCTAAAAATAACACTTTTAGCGAACATAAAAAGAAATTAGAACCAACGCACGCTATGGGCAACACGTACATTCTGTATATGAATTTGAATGGTTTTTGTTTTCAGTTAGTGGTACTTTTCTGCTTTTGACGGCTCTACAATTCTAGCCTTCGAAAAAAAAAAGAGATAAGTGCATTGAAAGTTCTAAAACTCGTCGCGAAAGTACAATTAAATCCTTAAACTTTCAAATAGTGCTATTAAGTCCTAAAACTTATCGCAAAAGTGCAATTAAGTCCTAAAATTTTCGAAAAGTGCAATCAATTCCTAAAACTTATCAAATTGGACTAATCTAATCCTTCTGTTGAATACATTTTTTGAAATTTTTAGGACTCGATTGTATTTTCGTGACAAGTTTCAGGACCTGATTGCACTTTTTGAAAATTTTAGGACTCTATTGCACTTTCGTAACCAGTTTCAAGACTTGATTGCGCTTTTTGAAAGTTTTGAGACTCAATTACACTTTCGTAATAAGTTTTAGGACTTCCAGTGCATTTATCTAGAAAAAAAATTTAATGAGAAGAATAAATTAAATTGGAGAACTGAAAGGAGACAATTTGTTGACGATGAATTTAAATTCTTTGAAAGAAAAGTCTACTTCATGTAATTTGCATAGGCAGTCCAGAAAACATTTGTTTGGAAGAGAGTGCAAATAGAAGAGGAGGTCTGCCAAGAAAATTCTAAAAGTTAGTGGAGTTGGAAAGTTATTTACTGCTTCCAAAGCTTCCTCCATCGCTGTAGCATGGCAGCGCATGCACGTTTTGCATATCAACCCTTCAATATTTGAGTAATTATGAGTTTCAATCCTTGCTGCAAGGCTTATCATGAATATAAAAGAGAGATCAAACCCTCAATGGAGTAGCGTAGACGAAAAGGGGGAAAATATATATATCACCGACACCATATACTCCTGCTATAACAACACAAGGGGGAAAAGTCAACATTTGGCTGACTTTATTAGTAATACTTGGAATATAATTGAACAAGCATCTGAATTCGAAAGATAAAGCTAATCATATATATTATATATGCCCTTTTGACCGAGCTTCTTATTACAGTGCAGCAACAAATCACATTGATCAAACCTCAAACCTCCACAAGTTGGTGATGATTACAGAGTATGTTTAATGTCAAAACCTCTGCTCTATACTTTGGCTCAACAATTACTGATGATTTTCAGAGCCTTTGAGTTGACGGATCGATTTCGCTTCCTCAAAACTAAAAATGTGGCGGGCTGCTCTTTGTGAAAATAAATAAAGCACGCCTCGGCCAGTCCAATCGATCACCGTGAAACTTCGAAGCCACTCTCGAATTCAACTGAATTGAACCGAGCTAGAGAAGGTTTGGCTGAATGCCCAATTTGGTGGCACAATGTCTGTGAAGACCTTAGTCTGTCCATCAGTGGTTGTGACCTGAAAGGACAGAGATTGGCCGTTGAGGTATGAATTCGACTGCCAATTAGCCCCCCAGTTCCTCGACATGGTCGTCCATCCTGTGTTCGAGCCTTTGATCGAGACGGACTGGATCGACCCGGCTGCTGCAACGTTGCTTATGAGGACCAGCTCAAAGTAGTCTCTCCCGTTGATGGTGAACCTCACTCCACCATGTTTCTTGCATGGAACCCTGCAAAGGATTATGACCCACCTATATGACTTAGTCCCAGAGCAAATAATCAATTTAAGATGGTTGGGATGTGAGGTGGTAGGTTGAGTCGATCACGGTGCGGACTGAAAATATACCAAAGAAAGCTTAGATTACAGACCTTTGGTATATGACAGGTATGATTCCTCCCCTGTAGATGCCGATCTTTAACCAAGCAGGCTCAGCCATGTCGAAATGCTGGAGGGGCGGGTTGCACCACCCACCATTGTCATTCGCAAGAGCGAAGTTCGGAGGGCAGAAATTGGTGGCAGTGACCGTGATGGAAACTCCTTTGATGCACCACCTGGCGTCAGTTTGGTAGTCACAGATGATCCTGTAGCACTGCCCACACGAAGCACCATTGTTGAACAACGCGGTGCTCAACGCAGTAGTTCGGGTGCCATACCCGGTCGAGTACAAGTCGCCATAGCCACAAGCTCCTCCTGCACATCATCAACTAATGTTAAACTCGAGAGCCCCTAATTTCTTGCGAATTGGGTATCAGGAAATGGTCTTACTAAACAAAGACCACCTCATTCTATACCCTACAAGTAGTTAGCAATGAGCCTATGGAGGCCGAAGCATTCTTGAAATCAAGTTCGTGGATTCCATTACCTAATCTAAGGATCTGTATCGAAAGTTTTCGTGACTAACCAGGTCCATGTGGACCGACGAGTCGTTCCAACAAGAGAAAACGAGTTATATTTTTGAACTTACCCATGGTTCCCGAGGCATCGCTTCCACCGTAAAAGGTGGCATGAGCTTTGGTCCATCCTGAAGCAGTGAATGCATTGGCACTCACAGCAAAATGAAAGCACACAAGCACAATGAGCGGAGCAAAACTGGACTTCTCCATCTGAAAGAGAGAGAATTGGAGGAGATTGAGGTTTGAGAATGACAATGTGATTGGGGGAGAGATGCGTCTGAACTGCTTGGCTTGGCCAAAGACCCCATAGTGCCGCACTTTAAATAAGAGACTGGTTTGGCTCCCACATGACACAACCACCTTCACATGTGATCTCTCCAGACACGGAAAATTTTTTAAGAACAAGAACTTCTTTAAATAATTGGATGATATTTTCAGAAAAGTCTGAAGATCTCAAAGGCCTCATTCAATTGTTCCCACGTTCTCTTCCGTAAGTCCCACATGCAGTTTCTCCCCAAAATAATGTAGAGGAAACCTCCTAATAGATTTTGATGTTGACAAAACTATCCATATTAATCCTATAAATCCGACATGTACTATGAAGTATTTTGATCCAGGTAGATGTGTTCTGGAAGTGGCAATTTTAATACTTTGAGAGAACTAAACTTTCTGGATGACCTCAGACTCTACAAGGTTCATAAGGAAGACTTCAGACTTTACGGGATTCAGAACGACAAGTTCAGACTCTACCATAAAAGTCACTCAGACTCTATTTTAAGTAGACAAGAAACTTCAGACCTTACTTTTGAAACGTTCAGACCTTACTGAAGACCCATACTGACTTAAGTTCTCAATGGAAAGCAAGAATCAAAAGCTATTTAGACTTAAACATTATTCAGAACGAAACATAACGGTTAGTGATCTGGCGTGAATTTCACAGAAGGAAATTTTTTATTGATTCAATCTAAAGCTATAATTGATTGACAATCAAACATTATGCCAAATATACATCACAACGGATAAAACTCTACTTATGGAAATCAAGATTTTGGTTGTATGGGCTACCAAATTCAACGAGATTCATATTTTGTCAACCAACGGCTACTCAATCAATTTTATACAAATCTATCCAAGGTGAAAATTGGAAGATGATCCTCTGAAGACTATCCAACGGCCAGTTTGGAAGTAGAGGAGTATAAAATGAGATTAACGAGGAGCTGAAGGCACTGAACGAAATCAAGAATTAACAAGTCCAAAGTCTAAGCATACTCTGATTCTACTACTTGTCTTTCCTAAGCAAAACACTGAGATCTTGAGGGATATTTTGTAAGAGTGATTATGTGAGATAGAGAGTCTTATCATTCACCGAGTGATATCACTTAGAACTTGTAATCCTTTTTTATCACATAGTGAAATTCAGCCGGTAGGCTGTCAGTGTGGAAGAGTGGACATAGGCTTGATCTAAGCCGGACCATTATAATTTCTTATGTGCAGTTTTCTCTATCCCTAAACTCTTATTCTATCTTTTGTACTGCATACTAGCACATTGTTTATAAAGTCTGCTCAGAATCTGAATATCTTTCAGACTTTAATCTTAATCATTTGTTTCCGTGTTAAAAATTGATCAAAAGTTTTAGATCACGTATTCACCCCCTCTAGGTGATCCTTGCTAGCTACGTCAATTGGTATCAGAGCAAGTTGCTTGTTTATTGAAGTGTTTGTACTTCTAAGCTAACGATCTAAATTGCTAACTTGAGTGCTCCAGGTCTTATTGAAGGACAGTACAATTCCAGACCACCATATTTTGATGGCAAGGAATACAGCGTCTAGAAAAACAAAATGAAAGCATTCGTCAAATCAGTTGATCACATGCAGTGGGATGTTGTCATCAGAGGAGTTAATCCAAAGTCTTTTGCATCTGCATCTGCTTCAAAAGAAAAGCTAGATGGAAGCAAATCAGAAGAAGCTCCATTATCTCAAACTAAGATATCAAAAAGAGAAATTTTAGACTCAAAAGCAATTTATTCTTTTTATTGTGCTTTAGCACCTATTGAGTATGAGAAAATTGCTTCTTATGAATTAGCAAAGGACATCTGGGACACCCTCTACACTACATCTGAAGGAACAGATCGAGCCAAGGAAACTCAGATCAATCTGTTGCTTGGACAATATGAATCCTTCAGAATGAAAATAGGAGAATCAGTTGTAGATATATATGACAGACTTACTGATATAGTAAATGATCTTACATATCAAGGACAACCAGTCTCAGATGCAATGACAGTGAACAAGCTTCTGAGGGGATTATCAAAGGAGTGGGACAACATAAAAACCTCACTTCGAGAGACTCAAAGGATCATGCCTCTATCAATGAATGAACTAATTGGAACTCTTCAGTCATATGAAACTGAACAACTGAATGAGGAAAATAAATCCAGAGGTAAGAAGTTAATTGCTTTAAAATCTAATATTAACTCTGATGATGCAGATTCAGAAGAAGAGGATGTTGATGATGATAAACTGGCTCTCTTCATTAAAAAGGTACAAAAGAATGAAAAAGAAAGGAAGAAACTTCAAAGGGAAGAAGCCATTCGACAAAAAGAAAATCCCTGATGAAACAGATAAATCAAAGGAAGTAATCTGTTTCCATTGCAAGAAGCGTGGACATATCAAACCAAACTGTCCACTCCTGAAGAAAAGAAAAGCAAACTTGAAAAGGCAAAGAAAGCCTTGAAAGCAGAAACCTAGAGTGACACAGAATGTGAAGACAGTGATGAAGATATCACAAACTTCGGTTTGATGGTCAAATCTGACTCAAATTCAGACTTAGACTCAAACTCAGACTCAGACTCAGATTCTGATACTTGAGTTGAAATTGAGGTAAAGTATCTTGAAATTTCAATTGAAATGTCAAATTATATCGATGAATTATGCTCTGAATTTGAGGCTGCTCTTGAGAGAATCTCTGAACTAAAAAAGGAAAATTCAGTGCTGAAGCAACAGGATATTTCTCAAAAGGACAAAATCGATTTTTTGCAAAAAGAATTTCATCAAATCAAGGAAAATCGAGATTTACTTGCCGAGGAAAATTCTGTTTTAAAAAGGAAGTTTTCTGATATCACTTCCAAATTTTCAAATGGTTCAAAAACGCTGGAACATATTCTTTCTATACAAATCCCTTATTATAACAAATCAGATCTCGATTTTGTTAAGGAAAGTGATCATTTAATTGATTTTCCAAAAGTCAATGAGAGATTAAGGCAAAGACCTCCTAGACAAGCTTACAAAAATCATTTTTAAGGAAATTTTGTAAAACCTGTTGGTCGAAGTGCACTCAAGTGCTCAAAATGTGGAGATCCACAGCACTTTGAGAATAATTGTCCTAAAGTCTGGAGACCAATTCGGAGAAACTTTATAAAAACATCCTATGCCACTAACTCTCAAGAACTCAAACAAATCTAGGTACCAAAAAAGGCTTGAGTGTATATGATTTTTGTAGGTTATTAGCAAGAGAAAAAGAAAATGGTACTTGGACAGTGGCTGTTCAAGACATATGATAGGAGATCCAAGCATGTTTATCAAATTTCAAAGTCTGAATGGTGGAAGTGTTTCCTTTGGAGGAAATAACAAAGAAAAAATTGTTGGAAAAGGAATCGTTGAGATTGGAGGACTTACTATCAATGATGTTTCATTGGTAAAATGTCTCAATTACAATCTGATCAGCATAAGTCAACTATGTGACACAGGCTTTAAAATAAGCTTCCAAGAAACATCTGCTCTGGCTCTAGCAAAGACTGCTCTCAAACCTTCACAGGATGAAGACATAATAATATTTATCTTCTGGATGTAAATTCTTATTCTACTCAATGTTTAATTTCTATCAAGGAAGATGAAGACCTATGAAATAGAAGATTGGGGCACATCAGCATGAAACAAATTTCAAAGATCTCAAACAAAAAACTTGTTTGAGGTCTGCCAAGTTTAAAATACAAGAAAATAAAATTGTGCATAGCTTGCACCTTAGGGAAATAGGTAAGAAGCTCTTTTAAGCCTATACATCATGTTTCTACTAATCGTGCTTTGCAGCTTCTACATATGGATATGTTTAGACCAACCAGAACTCAAAGTATTGGTGGTAAGAAGTATTATTTAATTATTGTTGATGATTTTACTATATTCACTTGGGTATTCTTTCTTGCTCACAAAAATAAAGCCCTTTCATATTTTTCAAAATTTGCAAAAAGAGTTCAGAATGAAAAGGGTTATACCATTTATAGCATCAAAACTGATCATGGGGGAGAAATTGAAAATCAAAGTTTTTCAGATTTTTGTGAGGAAAATAGCTTTCAACACAATTTTTGTACTCCTTATACAACAGAACAGAATGGTGTTGTGGAATGAAAAAATCGTTCTTTGCAAGAAATTGCAAGAACTCTTTTGATTAAAAGCAAGATTCCGTATCATTTTTTGGCAGAAGCAGTTTCTACAGCCTGTTAAATTATCAATAGAGTCTTTCTAAGACATATTCTTGACAAAACCCCATATGAGCTTTATAAAGGTAGAAAACCCAGCATTTCATATTTTCATATGTTTGGTTATAAATGCTTTATACTAAAAAATCCAAATGATCACACTGAAAAGTTTGATGAGAAAGCAAATGAAGGATTTTTCCTTGGATACTCCACAACAAGAAAGGCATACAGAGTTTTCAACAAAAACTCTCAGACTGTGGAATAAACAATGAATGTGAGATTTGATGAATATGTTCAGACTTAAAAGGATGAATCTGAACCATCTCACAATGTTCAAGAGATGTACGGAGCTCAACAAGAATCTCCAAAGATCATTAAACCTGTTGAAGAAAGAAAGAAAAATTCATCGATCACACAGCTAGAACCTTCAAAATCTGATGATACTCAAAAGGAGAGATTCAACAAAAACTGGAAACATAAATCCAGTCATCCGAAGAATCTTATCATTGGAGAATATGGCGTCAAAATTCGATCCAAACATAAGGAAAATATCAATGCCTTGGCATTAATATCTAAGATAAAACCAAAAGGGGTTGATGAAGCACTTTCAGATGAAAGCTGGATAGAAGCAATGTGGGAAGAACTTCAACAGTTCAGAATCAATGAAGTATGGGAACTTGTGCCAAGACCCAAAAATCATCTAGTAATTGGAACAAAATGGGTATTCAGAAACAAGCTGGATGATAAGGGAAAAGTAATCAGAAACAAAGCAAGGCTTGTAGCAAAAGGCTACTCACAAGAAG